ATAGAGAAAATGCTTGTTGGAGGAGCACAAGAGAAAATCAGGCATTGAGATAATGTCATTTCCAGCCCAGCAGCAGCAGCTCTTGTACTCATCTTGTCCATATTACAGGCTGCCATTCAGTGGAAGCAGCAAATTAATATCTGCAGGGTTGGAAGCATTGAAAGAGTGGAGATGAGAGAATTGAGGGAGAGTTGGCTGGGTAAAACAAGTCAAATTACTATTTCTCTAACCATGGGAAAAGGGACATGACTGTCTCCTCCTGAGTCCACTTATTTAACCGAGCACATAATTCCTTGGTACCCAAAAAGCCAATATTTGCAGTTGGTGTCTCAGTTTGGAGAAAGCTCCAGGAGACCTTCCTGCCCAAACCTATAAAGTGTGAAAACACAGCACTGCAGCTGTTCCAGCCATGTATTTAACATTCAAAACTCCTGAATTTAAAGAGCTGGTTTAGGGATCCATTGTCTGTCCCAACCAAACTTCTTTCCTTTAGAGAGTTTTAAAAATGCTTTGTAGATATACAGCAATGAGCTACTGTCAGGTAGCACTGTAATTTCTCTTGGAAGAGCCCAGCACTGTGTTTTATTGTAGTACTTTTCCCTCTGGTAATTTATGTTCTTGTGCCAGCTTGTCCCCAGCTCGTGGTGGCACTGATGTCCAGGACAGGGACCCTGGTGTGGCCAGGCCATCTCCCAGCAGCAGGAACCTCACAGCTCATTCCTGCTGATCCCTCAACTCCCTGAACTCTGCATTGCCCAAACACCCAGCTGCAGATCTGAATCACTCCACTCCCAGCTCAGCCAAATTAACCCTTCAGCTGCCTACCAGCAGCACTGCAGGCACCAATGTCTCCAAAAAGAGACTGATTTGGAACTGTCAGTACATATTTTCCAGGGAGAGAAAGTGTGGGTTTTTGGATTTATGAAAGAACAAAAATAATATTCAATTAAGCAAATGTCTCCAGATTCTCAGACATGCAAAAGCAGCACAATCAAAAATCCCCACATTTGCTCCTCCCTTCCCTCATCTCCCTTCTTCCTTTCATTTCTTTCTTCCTTTCCTTTCTACACCCTCTCTTCCCTTTCCTCCTTCCTATCTTTCCTCTCACTTCCCTTCTCCCTCCATCCCTACCTCTGTCCCTTCCTGCATCCCTCCCAACCTCCCTTTTCCTTCTCCTCTCCATCTTTGGGACAGACTGAGAGGCCTCTGAACACTTCCCAAACCTGGGAATGTTTTCCTTCCATGGTAGAAGGATGTTCTCTGAAACACCTTTCAAGTCATCTTTTATCTTCTTGCTCTTCATTATCCCAATCTCCTGTTTTACCTACTTTTAGCCAATATTTGTACAGATAACCAAAATGTGGCTGTTGTAGTCAGTGACTTTGTTATTGTTGGGAAATGAGAGCAGTTCCCAAACCTGTTTCCAGTCCTGGGAATGGCAGCCACATGCTGCCTCCCAAAATATGGTTTTCCCTTCTCTCCACTCCCACACAGGGGTTTTGCAATGGAGGTAAATCCTGAAGCAAGGGCTCTGCACTAACAGCAAGGTCATGGGGAAGCCTCCAGCAGACAGAACTACTACACACACTGGTCAGGTCTGCAAGGCTTCAGGTCTTCTCCTAACCAGAGATGATTTCTCCCTCAGTGATTTCATCAGATAAAATATTTTTGTATATTTTTCACATTTATGTAGGTTCTTCCACAGACTGGAATCTTAAGCATATCACAATACACATATAAATAAATCAATCATTGAAATGTTTGAACATCCACCAGGATATCTGTGTATAACAGAGGATGTCATAGGGAGTTATATAAATCCCTGCCCAGTTGCTATTCAAATTACTGAAACTTTCCCTTTTCATTTGTCACCTGTGTCTTCTCTTTTCTGTTCCTTCAGTCCATTTTCCTTGGAAATAGCCTCATGTGATCAACCCACGCTGAATTAGGTATGGATTCCACAGCAATCCCACAGCATCCTGGCTTGCTGGTGCAACTACTGGCCTGAATAACTTGAAATGCAAGGCAAGAATTGCTAAACAAAGTTAATCAGACAGATGTTTATCTTTAGAAATACATGTTTAGTATCTTTTATCTTTAGAAACTCATGCTGAATAACATTAAAATATTGCACAGGGACATAATTGGGACCATAATCGATAAGGAAAAGTCGTAAAATGTTTGTTTCAGCAATTTCAAAAAGACCTGTGAAACTGGTACAGTTCTGAAGGTAAAATAGGACATCTGAAAGAGTCCTTTTTATCTCTATAAAACCATGTATTTTCTTACAGCACTTCAGAACAGGGGGAAATATCAGAAGGTGTTTTGCCACTTTTATTGCTGCTGTAATCTAAATAATCACCTCTATTCCAAGCCTGCTGTTCTGCACCCTCAGCCCTGGATGTGCACTACCTTCAGCTTCCACCTTGAGTTTTCTTTACCCACACCACATTAAGGCAGGAAATATAATACATTATTATCACAGGTTTCATTTTGGAACCTTGCTGATAACCCAGGACAGCTGCAATCCTCACTGTTATGGCCAACCCACTCTCCCTCTCATTGCTAATGACTGATTAATTATGAAATGGGCCTGCATTCATCTTCCCCACCCTTGAAAATGAAAGCTCTGACTTGCTCACAGACAGGGAGAAATCTTTGGGAAGCAAAACTTCCAGCTGTGGACTCGATCCCAGTAAATTTCATGCAAACTGTGTGAAAACTCTTCTGTGCATCTGTTTGAGTAATAAAGTGAATGGTGTGAGGCACAATTCTGACACATCATACAGGCTTTGAGATTCTTCTCAGCTTATGTCTGAATATTTATCAAGATATTTAATCAAAATTCCTCCTCATGTTTATGGCACCACAAGAACAACCTAGTTAAGATGCAGATATGCCACACAGCTCTAACAGAATAGTTCAAACTTCAGACCTGCCTTATTTATCATTTCTTGGTACAACAAGAGAACAAATTAGTGTTTTTTCCCTGAACAAATTAGTGGTTTTTTACTTTACTGACAAGTAAATTTTGCCTTTTTTCTGCAAATCTTTTTTTTGCTTCCCACATAAAACACATTGTCCTATTGTTAATACTGTTAAACACATTCATGCTTTCCTCTTGGACCTCATGATTTTCCCAACAATAACAAAGTCACTGACTACAACAGCCACCTCTGGGGTGGGTAAAAGGAACAGGAGATTGGGATAATGAAGAGCAAGAAGATAAAAGATGACTTGAAAGGTGTTTCAGAGAACATCCTTCTACCATGGAAGGAAACCATTCCCAGGTTTGGGAAGTGTTCAGAGGCCTCTCAGTCTGTCCCAAAGATGGAGAGGAGAAGGAAAAGGGAGGTTGGGAGGGCTGCAGGAAGGGACAGAGGTAGGGATGGAGGGAGAAGGGAAGTGAGAGGAAGGATAGGAAGGAGGAAAGGGAAGAGAGGGTGTAGAAAGGAAAGGAAGGAAGAAATGAAAGGAAGAAGGAAGATGAGGGAAGGGAGGAGCAAATGTGGGGATTTTTGATTGTGCTGCTCCTGCATGTCTGAGAATCTGGAGACATTTGCTTAACTGAATATTATTTTTATTCTTTCATAAATCCAAAAAAAACCTCACATTTTCTTTCCTTGGAAAATATGTACTATACAAGTTTTGACAGATCCCTTTTGTTCACCACTCAAAACAGAAGTCATGTATTTGGATTAAAAGGTCTTAGACAGGAGACAAAACTTTTAAGAACTAAAGGCCCCTTCTAAGGTGGCAAGTGGTGAGGATGAGGAGGAAGTAGTTTAGAAGGGAGGTTTCTAATATTTGCTTTCATCAGAGCTAAAAGCATTTGGTGGCATTTGGTGGGATTGGCCTTTGCTTACATTACCTGTACAGCCAGACTTTCATTTCATTTCAATGACCTTTTGCAGACCATGAGGAGCTTCCCCCTAAACTTTGCCTTTCCCTTGGCTGTCACTGTCCTATTTTCTGGAAAAATCCTCTTTGCCCAGGATTCTTCTCCTGGGAAGCTGAGAAGCCTCAGAGAAAAAAAGGAAAACAATATTATCTCATTTGCTTCTCCTGTGTTTCGCTGCTTTGGAACGTGGTTTGGAGCTTGTTTATCCAACATGTTGTTGTTTGATTGGTTTCATGTGAATTGTTTTTACTTAATGACCAATCATGGTCAGGCTGTGTCAGACTCTGGAGAGAGTCACGAGATTCATGAGTATCTTGTTAAGCTTTCTGTCTGTATCCTTTCTCTATTCTTTAGTATAGCATAATTAATATAATATAATATAATACCATAAAATAATAAATTAGCCTTCTAAGAACATGGAGTCAGATTCATCATTTCCTTCCTGCCATGGGGGACCCAGAAAATACCACACAGAAAATAGTCCACTCTGAAGAAGCCAGCCTGGAGCAGAAAGGGAGCTGCTGCTGCTGCTGCTGCTGCCCTGGAGCCTGGGCTGGTTTGGGCTCTCAGGTCTCAGAGCTGCATCCAGATGAAAATCCTGCCTTCACTCCAGGTGAGCAAAGCAGCACAGTCTGGAAGATGGAAAACCACAGGATACCTGTGCCTGCACCAAATCAGACCTGGAAACACAATTTCCTGCTCAGCACACAGCCAACACAGCCACCAGAAGAGTGCTATTGGAGATAAATTGGAGGACTCAGGTCCCTTCCATCAGTTCCTTGTGCAAGGACACAAAGCATGCCATAGGAATAAGAGGAAACTTTCCTGGTGCTTGGAAGCATCAGGATTTATCTAGTTTGGGGATGAATGGGGGAAATGGATTTGTAGAGAAATCTCAAAGCCTGACAGAGGGCTCATGCAGTGTGCATCTGTATGCCAACTTTGAGATAAGAAATGCTGACTGAGAAATGCCATGGAATAGGACAGATACTGTTGAGAGAGAAATGGAACCAGAAACAAGTTTCTAAGGATGGTTTTGTAAGTAAGACTGGATACTTTGGAGAAATAGAACTATGAAAGATGCATTGTAGTGGGACCCATGAGGGGTAATTTTAAATTATTGGCTTTAAAGCATTTGCAGCATAGTGTGGCTAAAGCTGATAGGCCAAGAAACACTTATAATGTATTGTAATTTATAATGTATTGTAATTTATAATGTATTGTAATTTATAATGTATTGTAATTAGGAAATGGTTGGCTTCTGATTGCGATGGCATGAATTATAACATCTGTATTGTCTCACCCTTCCCATGAGACTGAAAATGGAAAGTTTTTAAAACACCTCTGAGTTGCCCCATCCCTGGGTCACAAAGGGCTTGATCCAACAGCTGAGCAGAGGAGTGAGCACTTACAGCTGCATGGAAAAACCCAACACCTCCTCTTTCCTGCCTACCAGCCTCTGCTGAAGCCATGAAATCTGTCAGGGAGTGAAGCAGAGTTACCCCATCCAGCAGAGAGCTGTACAGACCTGCACAGAGCTGCTGGCAGCAATTACCTGGCACTCCCTGCAGCTGCACCTCCCAAACAATCTCTGTGCCTCTTTGGCACTCTGCAGGCAGGCAGGAGGAGTTTCACAGCAGCCTCCACTCACTGCCCACCATGGCTGGCTCAGAAAAGGCTCCCTGGCTGCCAGGGGAAACTCCTCAGACGTGGAACAGGGAGTGAACCTGGGGGAAACCTGAGCAAAATGCCACCAGAGCTCATCTGCCTCTTCCTGTGCACTCTGAGCGCTCCAAATCTCTCAGGTAAATGACTGAAATATCTTCACTGACCCAGGCAGGAGACAGAGGCTGTGAGTGAGTAATAAATTCTCCTGTCCTTTTGTTCAAGATGCCTCAACAGCACTTAAATCAAATGAGTACAAGGTCAGGCAATCTTGAATTTTAATTCTTTTTCTAAAATGAATATCAGAATAAGCAAATGAAAAAGGCAATCTGTAAATTCTGTTCTGCAGGTCATTTCTGAACTCTAGAGGGGAATTTCAATTTGAAGGAATTTAAGTAATTCTGTATTTGTCTCTGCTCTTTTGCTGCTCTCAATTCTTCTTTCAATGCTGATCACTCTGAGCACAGGGATGCTCTGCCTGTGGAGGGGATGCAGGGTCAGAGAGGAAGGATATAAAGTGCTAATTAATAGCTCAAATCATTTCTCTGAGGAGAAGTGAATCACTCTTCTCTGAGGAGAAGAATCACTTGTCTGAGAAGACATCTCTGAGGGTCTCCTTCACCCTGGAAGGAGGCTGTGCAGTTGGTAAATCTGCTTCTCCAAGGAAATGCCCCACCCCAGACCCATCTCATAGAGCTTGGTCTCCATCTCCTGACTGCATTCCAGTGTCTGCAATCTCAGTCCTCTACAAAGCAAACATGGCCAGTGTGCCTGGGTTTTCCCTGGTCCAGGTTTCCTCAATGTGACATTTTTGGTTGTGTCAACAACATTCCGGTTGTCTTGTGCTTCATTTTTTTTTCTGCTGCCTCAGAAAAAATCATTTTACAGCTGCCTCACTATTTGTAGCTCTTAGATGCTCAGAGAGAATCCAGTGACAGCATCAAGTGGTTTCTGCTGGGAAAGTTTATTCTGTGCAATAGGGAAGATGATGCCAACTATATTTTATAAGATGTCAGAGCTAGACAGTGGTTTTTTAAAGAAATGTGGAGTTGTTTTTACTGTATTTTTGCCTAAGGCTTGGCTACCTGAGTGCTGTTCCAGGCAGGAGCACTGCTGCCCGTGTGGGTGGTGACTGCCAGCCTCACACTGTGACAGAGAGTAGGAGGGCAGCTGGGATATCTTATACCCTGTCTGCCATCCTCTTGGCCTCGGCCTGAAACACAAAAACTCACATCCCAGGCTCCTTTCTGAGCAGAGAACATTTATTGGGTGGAATGTGGATGCTCCAAGCTGCTCCTGTGGCTGTGCAGAGCAGACTCCAGGGCAGCAGGCAGTGTGTTCCTGTCTAGCCCAGGAGTTGGGGTTTGATTCTGGGTTCTGAGGACACAAAAAGCCAAAGGGGATGTACCAGGGTCTTGCTTCTTGCTGTGAGTTTGGTTAATCAGCAGATGAGGGGGGGATGGCCCCAGAGCCTGCAGGTTGGAGTTCTAGCCTAAGAGATTTTTAGCATAATGTATTATCCTCCTGGAAATTGCTATTTCTAGGACTTAGAGATGTGTGGGTTTCATTTTCAACATTTAGCTAACAAAGAAATGCCTTTCTCTTCTCAGGATGTTATAGACATTATTTTGTTGTTATCAGTGTTGAGAATTGGGAATTCCCTTGTCAGATTCCCCTGGACTGAAATTTCCCCAAATGGAGAGTCAGACCATGCTCCAAGACACAAAAAGCTGGTGGCATTGCTGGTCTCCAGATTAGCAAAAGAAGATTAAACAATACAATGACTGGAAGTTAAAAAGCCAATGCTTATTACTATAACAGGAAGGATTTTCAGCCATATATATATATGGCCTTTTATATATAAAGATTTAAGGGATATGCCAGGTAAAGCATTCCTGAACACTGTACTGCACCAAGTCTGAGCTTGCTGTTTCTTCTTGTGTTTGTTGAACCCTTGAAAGGAGATAATATTACAAATAAAGACATAACTGTATTAAATTTTACACTGTTCACATACACTTAGCAGTATGTAGTGGTGATAGAAGTGATGAAGTAACAGCAAGTAATGAGGAAACATTATATTGTTCTATATTCACAGAGCAACGAGGATATTAAAATCTATCCCTGAGGAATGAAACTTTATCAAGGTTTATTTAAGGTATTTTAGACTGAAATGTAAGACAGACACATGTACTAGACTTGACCATGGTTTGTTTTTTTAATTGTCATTCTCTAACGCAAAGAGAATAAAAATACTAAATTAAAAGGGTCATCCCATTCTAAATGGAAATGTATTCTTTGAGTAACAAATGAAATAGAATATACTGCTGATAGGGTAGGAGACAAAAATGCCATTTACAGAGAAAATATCATTTCTTTGGCATGACTGGAGACATTAGGGTGAGAGTCAATACCCTGGCTTGAATTATTGTAGTTTGGCTTTTTCTGTGAGGCTGCTGGTGGATCCAAAACCAGATGGAAATGTGACAGCAGCCCTGGGCTCTCAGCCCTCTGGGTCCTGCCTGTGCTCTCTTTCCAGCTCTCTCCTGCTTTGGATGATTATTGTTTCCTTCTCCCTCAAAATGGACAAACCAGAGCTGAAGGATTATTTCAGCATTCAAACACTTCACTGTTTGTACTCAGTGCTGTTTATATAATCTAGAATTGTCTTTCCTCCCACTGTTAAATTTGTGTTTGTTACAATTGCTTTGTGGGCTGTTGCAACAGATGGGTGGGAGAAACCATAAATATAATTTGCTTGGCTATGACACAGGATTATGTCTAGATCAAAAGTACTCTGGGAAAGCATGAACTCTCCTCCAAACTGTAATTTGCAGCATATAATGCCAAACAGAAACTTAAACCACTGAACTGCTTTTATAGAGGCATATATATTGCCATTGGATGCAGAGTTTTTCTTAGTGAAAGCAGGAAAGAATTTCTGTATGAACTTTTCATAATTTCTGTATGAACTTTTCATAATTTCTGTATTTTCGTAATTCTGAATTTTCCTAAATTCTGTATGAGCTTTTGTGGTTCAGCTGAAGCGAGGTGGCAGTCACTGTGCCAGTAGAAGATTCACTGGTTTTGACAAGAAAAAAGTGCACTAAGCCAAGCATAGCCAGGAAATGAAGATTGGTCTCAGCAGACAGGAAATAACCCTTGGGCCATTACAAGACTGATAGTCCAATTCAGAACTCTCTGCTTTTAAAATAGGTTTCTAGATAGTTTAATAATATAGGGTTTAGTACTATTGAATGCAAAAAAAATTTATATCAAGAATGTCCTAAAGCCATGACTTGAAAAAATAGAAAAACCTTCAGTGCAGCTCACCTCTGCTCAGACCTGGAGCTCCATTGTGTCCCTTGAGTCCTGGGGAGAGCCAATGTTTGTTCATGGAATGAAATCTGGTATGGAATTCACACCCTCAGGTATGCCAAATCCCAAAATTAACATGGGAACCAAACACAAGGAAAAGTAACACGAAATCTGAACATTGAGAATCACGGAGAACACAAGAGACCAAATGGGTGGTTATGCTTTGCTTTGCCAACCTTGTTCATCCTGTGATTCTGCTGCAGTGTACAGGTCATTAAAAACTTTGCTTTTTTCAATTTTTAAAGACTAAAAGTGCCTTGACTACAGTGCTCTGAGTGTATGGAGTCTCAACCTACCAGAACTGCTGATGTGGCAGAGAGTGACCCTTCTGTTTTCTAAAGGACAAGGAAGAAAATTTCTCATCCCAGAGAAATCTGAATTTTATTTCAAAGAGCAGTTGAGCATTGTGTCAACAATGTATGACCTGTGCCAAAGAATCATAAGAGAGTTGGCATAACAGTTCCCCACATCATTAGTGATTTTATAAAGATATGATATAGGAAATTAGACAGCTATTGTTCCAATGTTTTAAAAAACATTGTTCATGGACTTGTCAGCCTGGTTTGATCCTGGGTAGAACAACTGACAATTTACTGCTTGACTTTCTAAACATGGCTCAGAAGAAAACACCCTTTTTAGTGGCAGTTAAAGACAAACCTGGTTAAGTGAAATAAATTTAATCAAAAAATAATCTTACAGTAACACATAGTGATAGCACAGTTACCTTGTTTTGGGGAGAGTGTTCACCAGTGGGTTGATAGAAACCAGTCCATCCATTCTTCCCTCCCAGTGGTTCTTTGGGAACCATTCCCTGCTGAGCAGAGAGAATGGGATTTTCCTGGGACTGGAAAGTAGCAGAAGATAAGTCTGATAAGTTTACACAGTGTAGTGCAGGATGTGTCCATGGGGAATCTTGTCTCCTGTGCTTCAAAGGATCTTAGATGAGGATACCCCAGGGTAAAATCAACTACCATCCCACAGTCATGCTGTGGAAACCTCAGAGGGAAGTAATAATTCCAGTTATAGAGAATGGAATAAGCTTATTCTATTAATAAACTTTGATCACAGCATACAGGCCCCTCCATTGTCAGAATCACATTCTCTGAAAAAATCCCTTCACCCAGGATTTTTCTCCTGGGAAGCTGAGAAGCCTCAGAGAAAAGGAAAACAATTCTGATCTCATTTGCTTCTCCTGTGTTGTGCTCATGTGGAATGTGTTTGGAGATTGTTCACCCACAGGGGATTGTTCCATTGCATTCTGCTGGGAGTTGTTTTCACTCTTTGGCCAATCAGGGCCAAGCTGTGTCAGGACTCTGGAGGGAGTCACCAGTTTTCATTATTATCTTTTTAGCATTCTGTAAGTATCCTTTCTGTATTCTTTAGTATAGTTTAGTATAGCATTCTTTAATATAATACAGTATCATAAAGTAATAAATCAGCCTTCTGAGAACATGGAGTCAGACTCATCATTCCTGCCTTCATCAGGACATTCCCTGCTAATACAATAAAGGAGCTGGCCCAGAGCTGGGATCTCCCTCAGCAGCAAATCCAGGAGGAAAGGAGCAGCACATTTGGAACCACAGCCTCCTTGGAACAGTTTATGGAGTGCCCCAGAGCCAAGTCTGTTATTTGGCTCCATTAAACCCAACTGGAGGGCTTGGCCTTTTCCTCCCACCACAAAAACTGTGGTGGGAAAGCTCTGCTGAGGTCACTGTTGGACTGCAGATCTCAGCCTGGGATGGGCAGCACTCATCAGCTTCAGCCAGGCAAGAAATTCTCTCTCCTGAACCAGAACTGAAATTCATCCATCTTTGGAAGTTATTCATTATTTCATGAGGGAGCAATCCTCACTCACATAGAGGTCTTGGTCAAACTGTTTTAGTGATACAATGAAAAACAGAAATAAGGAAAAGGAGCACTTTTAGCTGAGCTGCTCCATCCTTTCTTCTTCTCTGTAAAATACTTCAAACACTGAAGTGACTGTAGTGAAATGAAGCGTGTCCATCTCTGATGCAAAACACTGTTTTGCACTATTCTTCTAAGCTTTTTTTTTTCCCCCACCACTTAATTCTTTTTTTTTTTCTCCCTTTCTTTTGCTGGGAATTTTAGGAGGAGATGCTTTGTTGCCAGCACCTCATAGTATCTCCATTCTTTCAACCAACATGAAACACTTCTTAACTTGGAGTCCTGTGATCGTCCAGGGAGCAACTGTGAGATACTCAGTTGAGTTTCAAGGGTAACTACTCATTTTTTTTTTTAATTCTTTTTGCCTTTTGAACATTGTTTATCTCAACTTTAGGCTCTAAATTTTTGGGTGTCTAGTTCATATTCAGTTCACAATCCTAAGAGAAGTTTAGTACTGTTAATGAGAAAGGAAAAATTCCTTTTGCTCCAATTCTGGAACAGTTTGCAAGTTAATAGATGCTGGAGTAATCCAAGGTGTGCATCAATTCCATACAAGAAATCTGTCTCTATCCAAGAATTCAAAAGTTAAGAAGCTTTGCAACATTTTATTTAGAGAAGGAAGGATAAAACATTGAACTTTATTTTTTGTAACCATTTTAAACATCTGACACCACAGGAGGTTTCTGGTACATCTTGAGCTCTGACTTTTTATTATTATATGGCTTTGGGACTGGGGATTGTGGAAACTCAGGGCACTGGGAATATTTCTTTGTTTGCTCTGGTGTGCCCTGACCCCCAGGGGAGCACTGACTTTGACTTTTATTCATGGAGAAAGTTTCCTAGACTTCAAGATAGACTGGAATCCACAAAAGTGTGAAATAGATTATAGAGAGTAGTGTAGGTGTATCAGTGGGTGAGAAATTTAGGTTTTGGGATTTTTAGTATGTTCTGGATGGAAGCAAGGTGGAGGGCACAGGGTGTTGTCCTGGGTTTCTTCTTCATGCTTCTTCTTCCTCCTTCTTCATGGGTTTGGGTGGCATTTTGTAATTGGGTGGAAAATCTGCGTTGCAGCTCTGTGGGATCAGTTATTGGGTTAAAAGGGAAAATAATCCAGGTGTCAGTTCTTAATTGGATAGTTTAGTCTTAAAAAGACCTTGGAACAAGAAATTGTTGGCCATTTTGTGCCTTCTAATGAAAAGCTGCCCAACTCACAGTAGTGAGACTGTTTCACTGATAAGAAATAATAAACACTTGAGTCTGAACATAAATTACTGCCTCAATTAGTGCCTTCAATACAGACCTAGAAAAACCAAGGACTGGTACCCCCACAGGGGATGATCAAGTCAAATGAGTGGGCAGGGCTTGATGCATCAACACTGTGTGGGCAGTCCCCACCTCCCACAGCACCGCGCTGCATTTGGCTCACGAACTTGGGGTGATTTTCTCCAGATAAGATCCAAAACACACCCACACTGCTTCCAAACACCTGTGGTGCTCCATCCCCAGTGCCTCCCAGTGCAGGTTTTACCTGGAAAGAACCCAGCAGCAGCTTTGGCTGCACAGACAGAGCTCGTGTCAGACTGCTGCCTGTGTGCTTCCTCTCCTCCTCAGGGAATACGAGCGGGAATACGCCAACGGGAGCTGGATCCCCATCTCGGAGTGCTCCCTCACCACAGCCACCATCTGCAACCTCACTGAGGACATCTCAGCCTCTGTGGCCTACAAGCTGCGTGTCAGGGCAGAGCTCGGTGCCACCAAGTCACAGTGGGGCACCACCAAAGGCTTCTTCAACCGCGCCATGAGTGCGTCCTGCTCTTCAATGGCACCTCCTGGGCTGCCTGCTCACAGCTGGGTGTGCTCAGAGCTGGGTGTTGGGGTGTGCTCACAGCTGGGTGTGCTCAGAGCTGGGTGTTGGGGTGTGCTCACAGCTGGGTGTGCTCACAGCTGGGTATTGGGGTGTGCTCACAGCTGGGGGTGCTCACAGCTGGGTGTGCTCAGAGCTGGGTGTTGGGGTGTGCTCACAGCTGGATATTGGGGTGTGCTCACAGCTGGGTGTGCTCACAGCTGGGTGTGCTCAGAGCTGGGTGTTGGGGTGTGCTCACAGCTGGGGGTGCTCACAGCTGGGTATTGGGGTGTGCTCACAGCTGGGGGTGCTCACAGCTGGGTGTTGGGGTGTGCTCACAGTTGGGTGTTGGGGTGTGCTCACAGCTGGGTGTGCTCACAGCTGGGTATTGGGGTGTGCTCACAGCTGGGGGTGCTCACAGCTGGGTGTGCTCACAGCTGGGTATTGGGGTGTGCTCACAGCTGGGTATTGGGGTGTGCCCACAGCTGGGGGTGCTCACAGCTGGATATTGGGCTGTGCTCACAGCTGGGGGTGCTCACAGCTGGGTGTGCTCACAGCTGGGTGTGCTCAGAGCTGGGGGTGCTCACAGCTGGGTGTTGGGGTGTGCTCACAGGTGGGTGTTGGGATGTGCTCAGGTGCCCGCTTGTGCCCAGTGCATGGCAGGCAGAGCACAGACATGCACAGAGCACACCCTGTTTCTCAGCTGCTCCCATCCTGGGCTGGGGGGGTTCCCTTCTCAGACAATGTTCTTGGGCATGAGTTCATCCCAAGGCAGAGCCAAATTCCTCTGGGATTGAATTTCAAGGGTTTCAAAGATAAGCAAGATGGCTGCAGGGATTTCCTTTCACAGGCTAGTCATTCTTACCCTTAAAGATTTCTGTTCAACCAGGCTTGCTGTCATTTAATCCAAGCCAGGTTGGATTAAATGTCATTTAATCCAAGCCAGGTTGGACCTCTAAGAGGTCCAGAACCTGATCCTAAGGGAGCTTTTACTCAGAAAACAGCCCTGTCATGCTCCATGTGCCTTGTACTGTCCTGAAAATCCCATCCATGGTTCCTTCTTCCCATGGTGCCAGATCTGTGAGGTAACCTCAGAAGAGGAGAGAAAACTGGAACCCACAGCATTAATTTCCTCCTAGCAATGCAGGATGTTTTCTCCATGTCCTTCCACATCCTGCAAAGCCTGAGGTGAGCTCAACCCAAGGATTACAATGAGCACACTGTTTCCAAGATTTCTCTGGAATAATTTCCTCTGTCCTCTACCATGTAGTCAACAAAAACTGTGGTGGGAAAGCTCTCCTGAGGTCACTGTTGGACTGCAGCTCTCAGCCTGGGATGGGCAGCACTCATCAGCTTCAGCCAGGCAAGAAATTCTCTCTCCTAAACCAGAACTGACTCAATATTAAAAATTCCTCCAACTTCAGAAGTTATTCACTACTTCATGAGAGAGCAATCCTCACTCACACAGAGGTCTTGGTCAAAGCAGCACCATCAGAAGTGCCACCTAAGCTGTGACTGTGTCTCTTTGTGTGGAAGCACAGTCTAGAGAGTGCTTTAGATAAAAAATCCTTCCCTTTTCCAGCAGCTGTGGAGGCACAGACAGAGGCACAGACCACACTGTCAGGCAGAGACAGGGCAAGGACACCCCTGAGACTGACAGGAACAAAAGCTGCAGCATCTCATGGCTCAGTGAAGTATTTGGCAGCTTGGTCCTGTGTCTTAGGGACCCCAAAACAGCCTTCAGACTGAGCTGTGACAGTTCAGAGGCTACAGCTTGCACTGGGATTCAGTGTGAATGTGACACATGTTTAAAAGAGAAAGAAAAGTCCCTGCAAGTTCTTGTCCTTATGCATTTTTCCTGCTCTGCTGTGGCACCTCTTGGGAAGGCTGGCAGTGAATCTGAGAGGAGAAAGGGACTCAGACCCAGCCCACAGGTCCTGTCAGGGGCTCACAGGCAGCCAAGGCTTCTCCAGACTGCACAGCCCCAGGGACAAAGCCACAGGGGCAGAAGCACACCAGATCATGGAAAACACTTTGAAAAGATCTTCCTAAAGCAAACAGTTTAGTCAGTCTTCCTTCTTCATTTCTCATCATTCAAAGAGTTGGTATCCAGTGTGCCAGCACAGAGCTAAATAGAAATGCTCCTGTTTGTTTGACAGCTGCATCTTGCAATGTCCTTTTGTTAATACATTACACAATATTTGCTTTTAACCACCAAATGATAACAGGTTGGTTTTTTTTAATTTTGAGATGTGGTGCTAAGGAGATTTTCACTTTTTTTTTTTCCAGCTTTTCATTTAGAAGTACAAAGTAGATTTCCAGATCTCCCATTTGTGGCACACTCATCATATACATGCTTGGATTTTATGTTTTCATATTGCTCAGTATTAGTGGCAATTCATTGGATGTAAGAGCAAATTCTATTAAGAACATCTCTTCTATATGGCACTATGCATCACTCTCCTTCCTTTCTTGAAAGCAAAGTTGAAACCCAAAGTTTCAGCTACAGCAGAGGGGTAAAAAATGGCATAGATAAGTGTGAATAGTGGCACAGATAAATAGTGCAAACATGATCTCTGTACTGCCTTGAACTTCCCAGCTCATAAATGTACAGTGCAGCTTCATCTCTGCTCGATTGATTCTCATTATTTCACTCCTATTCCTCACAGCAGAATCCCAGACAAAACCAAGCTTTGAATATCAAAGTAAGCAGGAAGCAAATCGCCTCAAGATTTACTTGCATACATTTCCAAAACCTGAAGTCACAGCAGATCATCAGCCCAAGTCTGTCTAAAACCATGCAGACACTAAAAGAAAATCAGGATTCATGTGAATTACCCCAAGGCTCATCATGTTTTTTCCTTCACCTTTGAATAACTGCCAAAATTCCCACGAACAGCAGTGGTTTTTCAGCTCCTGTTCAGCCGTGTGGCAGAGCTGATCTTGCCCAGGAGCACAAGAGCTGCCCTGATCTGCTGTCCCAGCCTCTGTGGCTGCTTCTGCTGCAGTTCTCGTGGCACCCTCAGGCCAGGCAGCTCCTCCACTGCTGGAGGAGAAAATTCAAAGCCTTTCAAGTTCTGTGCAGCTCAGCTGCTGCCAAATTCCCATTTGCAATGCCAGCCATGGTATTCTCCTCCTCCTGCTGGAAGTCTGCTCCTGTACTTGGACCCACAGGGAGGAAAAGCAGAGAGGGTCCTGCCCTGCTGAAGCTGTTCCTGCAGGTTGATGTTGTTCCAGTGGTGATGGCAGCCTCTCTCCCTCAGTCTGGGCAGAAGGGGGATCTCAGGGCTGTCTCTGGGTGTTAATGGTGCTCTCTGTGTTGGCAGCTTCCCTGACCCCTCCCCAGCTGAGGGCCGTGGCAGACGGGCACCATTTGCTGGTGGAGCTGGCAGACATGGGACCCTCCTTCCAGTTCCGGGTGCTCTACTGGAGGAAGGGCCAGGAGAGCAGGGTGAGTTTTACCCTCAGGGGGTAGGAAAGAACTGAGAGTGCCCTGAGGGATGCACACAGAGCCTGTTTGCCAGCCCAGCTCCTGCTCTGGGGCTGCAGGACCTGCCTGCAGTGGGTTGGTGCCACCTCACCCTGCACACACCAGGGGTTGCTGTGGGCTCCTCGTGGAGGAGCTTGTCTGTTCTTTCCACATTTCCTGCTCTAGGAAAAGGAATCCCCTCACACACCTCAACTACTGAGGTATTTTCTGTGGCCCCCATCGAAGGGAGGAAATGATGAATCTGACTCCATGTTCTTAGAAGGCTAATTTATTACTTTATGATCTATATTATATTAAATACTTTTATATAATTATAATTATATAGTAATTATAGCACTATTAATTATATTATATCTCATAATTATATATTAATTATATAATATATAATTATATATTAATTATATTAAAGAATGCTATACTACAACTATTCTAAAGAACAGAGAAAGGACACAGACAGAAGGCTAAAAGACAACAATGAAAAACCCATGACTCTCTCCAGAGTCCCAACACAGCCTGACTGTGATGGGTCATTAAGTAAAAATAATTCACCTGTTGGATAAACAATCTCCAGGCACATTCCAAAGCAGCAAAACACAGGAGAAGCAAATGAGATAATTATTGTTTTCCTTTTTCTCTGAGGCTTCTCAGCTTCCCAGGAGAGAAATCCTGGCAAAGGGATTTTTCCAGAACATATGATGGTGACAAACTATAGCTGGAAACCCCAAGTCAGGAACCAAAGGTGTTTGTGCTGACTTCTCCCTCTGAACTTCATCTGGTTTACTCAGACTGGGATTAAGGTGTCAAAATGAGGTGCTGACAAACTTTTCTCAGTTTTCTGAGGCAGAAATTGCAGCATTGGTAGTCCTTGATGGATTTTTGTTCCATTAATTTATCTGTTCTGGCTTTCAATCTCTGTAAACTTCTAGCTTGTACAGCCTCCTGCAATGAGCAATTCTGCACCTTGACTCTTGTGCAGTCTCAACATTGATTTGGGGATGAGAGAGAGAACAATTATTCCCCATTCACTCTCCCTACCACTCCATTAGTTTCATATTCTGTATCTTTTTCCAGGCCAAGACTCCCATACTCCTGAGCTGTTCCCTGTGGAAGCCCTCACAGCTATTTTTGTCTTTACCAGGGTGGGCAGGGAGAAACCTGGAGAGCCCAAGGTGCAGGAACGCTCTGTGTTAGCACCATGAAACAAAACAAGTCTTCTCACTGCCCTGTCTCTCCAGCAATTGTTAATGTGACCCCCTCAGAACTGACAATCCCATAGAACCTGAACCCCAGGTTCCTGTTTCTGAGGGAGTATGCTGTGAAAATGTAGGAGAAAAATTCTCATGAGCATAATTCCACATTTCTCGGGGTTGAATTGCATTTGTTGCTTTATTACCAGATCCTCCTGCTGTTCTTCACAGTTGTCTGTCATCTTTGCTATTGTGAAGTGGGTTTTTAGTACCACCAGCAGGTATCAGTTTTCATTATTCTTCCTGATCACCTCTGCTAATACTGAGTCCCCACCATGGCCTCCTGCCACTCTCAATTAGCAATTTACTCATACAAAAGTCTTTAGCTTATAAAGAGGCATCAGGAGCAGGACTGCCCACTGGGAGATCCAGCTAAATGAGATCAACCTTGTCCATGGGCTTTCTGGCACCTTAAAAACAAGCAGTAGGTTTGCATCTGTTTGTGTTCTATGAATAAAACTAATTAATTTAATTAGTTATTAAATCTTCTTCATTATATGCTCTTAATGACCTCGACATTAATTCCAAAAATTTCAGAATACTTTCTACCAACTGGACTGTTGCAAACATTAGTTTTGCTGGTCAATACAAGTCTTGTGCTGGGACTCTTATTTTTTTCAATTATTTTTACATTTGACATGTCTCATTTGATGTTTTTGCAAGAGATCACCCCAGGTAGTCATAGACCTGATTTTTTCCTTAAAATCTTTTCAAACTAATGGCCCTCCAGATCATGTTTCTGGGGAGAAGGCTATTTTAATGGTAGAAAGGACTTGCCCTGCCAGAAGAGCCCTCCTGGCTCATAGGAGTTTTCCATATGTGTGGAGCTGGAGGCTGATCAGGCCTTCTGTGAGAACAGGTTTGCATCTGCAGCACAGCAAGAGGAGCAGCTGGGGAGCTGTTAGCCATCCCCTCATGGCTGGGGACACTGGAAACAGCAAATTCATTTTGCTAGCAAGGAATGCAGAGCTATTTATGGCAATAAAATAATGTACTGCTGGTCACAGTTTCGATTTGCTGCAGTGTGTCTCAGTTGCACACACCAAACTCACTGGCCCCTCACTAACTGGTCCATCCCCTCTCTGAGCTCCCTGGCACAGCTCTCACACCCCTGTCCCAGCACCGTGATGGTTTTGGCATCCATCACCATGAAAAACCATCACCATCACACCCAGAAAAAGCTCAGATCAGTGGAGGCCTCAGACATCCCGCTCCTAGCAGGGTGCCAGGCTCTGCTCTAGGGTTGTGGCCCAGCATCATCATTAATCTCTGGCTTACAGCTCTTTCCTTCAGCCCTCCTGCCCTTCTGAGGTGTGTGGGCTTATCCTGCACCCCACTGTGCTTTGCTGGCTGCTTTCATCCTCCTTTTGTCCTGCTCACACAGGCTCAGACATCCCCTGCTGCTCCCTCCTTTCCTTGCTGGACAAGCATCATGGTGATGCCTGATCCATTTTTACATTTTCCCTTTTCTATATCTCAGTATCCTTTACACAGATTTTTGGAGCTCTGTAGGCAATTATTGCATTCCTAGCTGCTTTTCCCAGTGCTTTTCCCACCATATTCCAAAGCCCCTATCCTACCTTGGTTCTCCCTGGGAAGCAAGGCTGAAAAGCAGCTCTTGGAGACTCATTTTCACCAATAAACTTCAGTTCCACCTGAGGGGGGAGGATTTAGAAGGGGCCTGAACTTGGAGAGGGGGGAGTTGCATCACCACTTTTGCTCAGTTTTTGGTGCTTTTGTCAATTATGCTAATTTACTAAACTTATAAATCAGTATTCAGCCTGTGGGGGGTGGGCTTTGTGGACACTGGAGGCCTCCAATAAAGATCAACCTTTGTGTTACCTGCTGCACTAATATTATCTCAGGAGGGTGTGTTGTTTCATTTCCAGGTTCTTTGAGGCTCCAGTGGCAGGGCTGCTCTCTGAGGTGAGATCCCTGCCCTGATGTTTGTGTTGTGGGGCTGTGGCAGGTGCAGCAGAAGGTGCTGAAGGAGGTGAGCTCCGTGGTTCACCTGGACACCATGGAGGCAGGAGCTGAGTACTGTGTGAAGGCTCAGACTCACGTGCAGGCCATCAACAGGAGCAGCAGCTTCAGCCCCACGCAGTGTGTGAGGGCTCAGGGTAAGAGCCAGCCCTCCCTCCTGCCCCCTGCTCTGCCCAAAGCTTGTGGGAAACGAATTTGTAGAGAATTTTTTAAGTTAGCTTCTGAAATAGTTGGCTTCTGATTGTGATGGCATTAATTATAAAATCTGTGTTGTCTCATCCTTCACAGAAAACTAAAAAAAATAGAAAAAATAAAATAAATAGCAATAATTAAAATATTTAAATTTTAAAATAATTAAAATATTCAAATTAAACAATATTTTTAAATTTAGTTATAAATAATATTATATTATGATAGTAATATAATAATTTCTATACGTATATTATAATATTATATTATTATAATATATTATTGTAATAATAGTATATTATATTATTATATGTTAATAGTTATCTATAGATATTATATTATTATATAATATAATATAGTATACTATGATATTATCATACTATATATTATGATATATAGTATTATAATAATATTATATTATTATATTTATTTATTGTAATGATATTTATTATTATTTTAATAAGTTCTTGTAAATAATATTATAATATTTTATATTATAATATTATAATAAAGTATTATAATGATATTATAATAGAATAATTTAAATGAATAAAAATAAGTAGAAATAAAAAATTAAAATTATAATATAATTTAGAAAATAAATAATAATAATAAAAATAGAATACAAGTTTTTAAAACACCTCTCAGTTACCCCATCTCTAAGTCAAAAAAACCTTAATCCAATAAATGCTCTTCCTTTTTTTCCACCCCAATCTTCTGCCTGATTTGCAAACGTGCTGTGTTTGTTCCTTGGCAGAGGTACAGCAGGAAGGGTCAGGGGTGCAGACCCCAGCCTGGCACTGGCGTTGCCTGGGGAGGGATGTGCCCAGGGTGGGTGGCAGAGCAGGCACACAGGGCTCAGGCTGGCTGCAGTGAGTGCCTGCTTCCTGCAGGGTCTCTGAGAAGTTTTGCTGCTCTCTCACTTGCAGGTGACACATCCATGTGGCTGGTTACTGCCCTCATCTCCTCTGCTGGCTTTGCTGTGGCAGTTTTTACCCTGCCTCTCCTTATCTGGAAAATAAGTAAAATCTGCCAATATTCCTGCTGCCCTGCTGCTGCCCTGCCAGACACACTGGTAACTGTTTTGTTTTTTTACTGTGTTTGTTTTATTGGTTTTTAGCATGGTGGGTATTCACAGGAGCATGGGGCAGTGAGAAAAACAGATTGCCAGGAAGCTTTGCCCTTTCCAGTGTGAGGAGCTGAACTGCAGGGATCCAGCAGCCCTGAACTGCATTTGGCCCCAAGCCCTGGGCAGGGAAGATGCTCCTGGTGCTTTTGGGGAAAGGGCTTGGGAGGCAGGGACTGCCCCTGCCTGAGCAGCTGCTCCCTGAACCCACCAGCTGTGCCACTGTCAGCACTGCTCCACGTCCCCTGCCACCCCTCTGAGCTTCTCAGCAGCTTGCCAAGGAGAAATCAACCAACAGCTCCTGGGGAAAATGTGAAAATGTCCAGTTCAAGTGAGAACACAGCTCAGCAGCTTGTGTGGCTGTGGGCTCTCTGGGCAGCTGTGGCAGGAAGGATGAGAGGAACACTTGGTGGGGAAAAGGACAAGCAGCCTGAGGGTGTTTGAGGGAGTGCATTTGTTTTCCAGGAGGAATCAGAGCCCCCCACCCAGCTGATCCTGCGGGGCAGTGAAGAAGCTGAGCAATGTGACTTGATGGTGGTTGTGATGCCCTCAGAAGAAGTTCTGCAGCTGTGGATTCAAAAAGCTCTTTAGAGCAGCCCAGAAAACAAACAGCCCCTCTGTAGCAGCTTCATCCATCCTCATCAAAAGCAAGTAAAGGTGGCAGCTGCCAGTTCCTGTCCTTGTCCTTCATACCCTTAGCCAGGAGCAGACATGGGGTGACCCAGGCCCCCTTTTTCACCAGAGCAACACCTGGAGAGCCCAGTCCCTTACTCCAAATCATTTCAGCCTCATTGTTTTTACCTCAGTAAGAGCTTCTTATGTGGCTAAGCCAGCTGGAATGACCAGGGGAAAATGCAGACCCCGAAGTGAGGTGACATTCTTTGAAAAGGGCATGAGGGGATGTGGTATCCTAATCTGTGCACGTGACAGGCACAGTGCTGGTGCCACCAAAACTTGCAGAAAATAAGTAAACAGCACCGTGAGGGATGCCTGGCTTTCAGGAGTGGTGTGGGAAACAGCCAGATCTCTGAAGCGCTTGGAGGGAGCTCTGCAAGACCAGCAGAGCATCACTGACAGTGTACAGATCCAGTAGCGCCCAGTCAGGATCTCAAAAATGCAAAAGCTGTGTATTGTGGCATTCACCTTCTCTGAAAAAATCCCTTCACCCAGGATTTTTCTCCTGGGAAGCCGAGAAGCCTCAGAGAAAAGGAAAACAATTCTGATCTCATTTGCTTCTCCTGTGTTGTGCTCATGTGGAATGTGTTTGGAGATTGTTCACCCACAGGTGATTGTTCCATTGGATTCTGGTGCAAGTTGTTTTCACTCTTTGGCCAATCAGGGCCAAGCTGTGTCAGGACTCTGAAGGGAGTCACCAGTTTTCATTATTATCTTTTTAGCATTCTGTAAGGATCCTTTCTGTATTCTTTAGTATAGAATTCTTTAATATAATATAGTATAATAAAGTAATAAATCAGCCTTCTGAGAACACGGAGTCAGACTCATCATTCCTGTTGTTGTTCTATTTCTAGAGTCCCATACTGTTGTTATCAGATTTCTAAAGCCCCATACCTCCTCAGTGCATTCTTATGGCTGTAGATCTTCACAGCACAGACTCCTTCTTCTGCATCTTGTTCTTTCTCAGTTCAGGGCTCCTCCAAGGCTCTTCCTGACTGGCCAACCCACCCCCTTTTATCCCAGTTATCTTCATTAGCCAGAGCTGCAGCCCAATTAAGGACATCACAGCTGCAGCCCATCAAGGACAACCAGGACCTCCCGGGGCAAAGCCTCTATACAGATATTCAAGTACAATACATGCATTTTGCTAGGACTCAAAGGCCACCTCTACTATATTTCCCCCTTTTCTTTTACTTGTTAACAGTTGTACAGATATTCAAGTACAACACACATATCTCCCCATGACTCAGAGGCCATACTCTTTCACAGCTCCTTGACCCAAAGGCTATGTTCTTTCGCAGCTCTTGACTGTCTCATCTTCTACCAAATATCACCACAGCTCTTGGCTGTCTCACCTTCTACTAACTATCACATCGGGGTCACCAATTGTTGTTGTTGCTCTATTTCTAGAGTCCCATATTGTTGTTATCAGATTTCTAAAGTCCATACCTCCTCAGTACATTCTTACGGCTGCAGATCTTCACAGCATAGACTCCTTCTTCTGCATCTTGCTCTTTCTCAGTTCAGGGCTCCCTCAAGGCTCTCCCTGACTGGCCAACCCAACCCCTTTTATCCCAGTTATCTTCATTAGCCAGAGCTGCAGCCCAATTAAGGACATCACAGCTGCAGCCCATCAAGGACAACCGGCACCTCCCGGGGCAAAGCCTCTATACAGATATTCAAATACAATACATTTCCTCTACTATATTTCCCCCTTTTCTTTTACTTAACAGTTATACAGATATTCAGGTACAATACATTTCCTCTACTATAATTCCTGCTCTCATCAGGACATTCCCTGCAAATACAATAGCGTATTCATGAAGGAAAAACCAAGACCTTTAGGGAGAAGCAAATTAGGGGTGAATTATTTAAATGAGAGAGGATTGGAGTAGAGAAAGATTGGGAAAATACAGAGAAAGGTAGGCTCCAGCAATAGTTAAAGAAATGCAAAAAAACAAAAAATTATGTGTAAATAGTGGCCAGGATCTCCCTTGCTGGGCATCCCTGTGGTTCAACACCGTTCCTTGAAACAGGACAGGGATTATTTCACACAAGGCAGATGTGTTGCTGTGGTCAGGAGGGCCAGAGTGAGGGGCAAATGCAGTTCTTATCTTGGCAAACAGGAATATCAGGCTGGATGGATCAAGCATCACAGCATTGCCATTTAGTGACCATCCCAGGCCTGACAACACCATTATCCTCCAGGCATCTTGTCCTCTTGAGGAAGGAAATTGCAAATGATAAGAGAAATTCCTTCTAAATACAGATAAAATGCAGGTGTTGTGTATATTGCAATTATGGCTGTCACACTGGAAAAAAATCATTTTCTCACCTGTAAAGCAGAGACATGTGCCAGCAGGGCATGAAAAGACATTGATCTGAGAAGCTTTTCTCAAAAGTTCTCAGTGGTTTTACTGAAATGCAAGACATCTCAAAGAGTGCACCTTTTCCAGTTCCATTCTTGCAACCTTGTGTGAGGCCATCGGGTGGCAACAAAGCACTGTGGAAAGGCAGAAGTGGCTCAGGAGCCTGTACCTGTGCTCTGCCTAGGCACTGTGATCCCTGGCTCCTGGCCAGCCCCTCATTTTCCAGTTGCAGCCCACTTGTTTGGTGGATTCCTGTCTCATTTGTTTCTTTCTGGACAATGTTGGAGTGCAGAGCTTTGGTGTTGAATTTTAAGATTGGTATTGCGGAATATTGACCAAATTACAGGGTGAGAAAATCTGTGCAGGTCTGGGCATTGAAGACTCAGCATTCATTATTAGTTTGTTGATAATTAGCTGGGAAATGCCTGGCTACAAGCACCCATGAGATGCTGGGCCCACAGATGATTTGGGAGTGAAGAGGAAAAGAGCATTTCCATGGGCAGGAATGACCCAGCAGGTCTCACCCTCCCTAAACCAAGCTGGAGCAGCAATGGGAGGCAGGCAGGAGTGATTCTGGCAATAAGCTGCAGTGTTTGGGGAGCACACACAGCACAGAACTTCAGTTCCTTGCAGGGTCAAGGGCTCTTGGGCAAACATCCCTTTGCACAGCTTTGCCCAGTGCTTGAATTTTCAAGGGCAGCTCCACATGCCAGAGGCCTTGGTGCTGGGGCTGGTTTAGGGAGCTCCTGTGCCTCACATTTATCTTTATTTTAAACCCCATTGATTCAGATGAGTTCAGTGCCTTGATTTCTCAGTGCCTTGATTTCTAGACACCCCACAGGGGTGTTCCTATGCAGGAAATGATCCTCTGGCTTGTCCATGCCATAGATCTGAGAAGCCTCAGCAGCTCCTCCTATCTCTTGCCCCCACACTGCTGCATTTTCAACACCACAGAATCAGAATCTTCTGAGCTGGAAGGGACCCACGAGGACCAACAAATCCAGCTCTTAAGTAAATGGCCCATATGGGGATCAAACCCACAATCTTGGCATTATCAGCACCATCCTCTAACCAGCTGTGGCAGCAGCAGCATTGTTCAGGGGTATGTAGAAAAGAAGGGAAATAAAAGGCCATTGAATGTGAAGGGCGTTTAAAAAATTATTTTCCTGTGTATTTTCCAGCTGCACATTAAGCATAGAGCATATGTTTCTTCCCCACTTGCAATAACAGATTTTATGTCCTTCCTCATTGCCAATAAAGCAGTTAAACTGTTGTAGAAAACTGCACAGACAACATTAAACAAAAGAAACAACCGAGAAAAAAATTCTTAAAATGTGGACATGGGAGAGAACAGTGTAAGTGCCACTGCCTCCTTAGCAGACTACTCTCAATTTACATTAGGATATTCCAGTTTATGGCAGCTTGAAGCCAAATTTGAGATGGTGATTGAAAATCCTTTTCAACCTCCTCCTTTTGAAGAATGTGCTGCATTTTGTTAAGGCTGAAAATCATGGTAGAGAACAAGAACGACTCCCCTGCCTGCCATGTACACAGGGCAGGGTGGCATTGGCATGGGCAGCTGCCATCACTGACTCCTTAATTCATTTTCCTGCTATCCAAAGGCTGATTTTGGCATGGCAAACACTGCCTTTGATAACTGATTTTGCTCCCACCACCAGGATACCACCTTGCAAAAAGGCCCAGACCATTCACCTCAGTGAAGAATGTGTATGTGTGAGCTTTGCTCTGTTCCTTTCCCTTCATGAGGTACAAAGTGCCTCCATTTCTTTCAAAATAAACTTTTCTACTTTCCACAAAAAGTGTTGCATGGAAATAAAGCAAAAAGCTGCATCATCTTCTGAGTGAGTTTTGGTTTTGTGCTCTGTTACCTGTGGGATGTGAGTCCAAAAACCCAACCTTTTAATGAAGACTTTGTAAGAACAGAAGAAGTGGTAATTAGAACAGTTTTCAAAGAAAAAATTATGAAGATCAGCATAAAAACTGTGGATTACCTGAGAATTTCAGCAGAGTTACATATTGCTGCATTGACCAGAAAGCATGGAATTCAAATATCTGTTCCATGACACTAACAGCCTGGAATATAGGGTAATTTTTCCTCTGAACTATATTTCATTAGAAGTATATTGCTTTTTGCAATTTTTATTCATTTCTCTCTCCAATCAAACCGAGATCTTTAACTTGATAAATTACCATTTTACATGTTTCCTACATTATTATTTTATGTTTTGTCTCTTTTCTTACAAAATCTAGAGGTAACCAAAAGCACTACTTTGACTGCAAATCAGTTCCATTTCTTGTGAAGGTGGTACTCTGTCCTGCAAATAAACTGCTACAAAAATAATAAACATCCAAACCAGAGACAGATATTTATTGCTTGAAGAATTTGCCTACAGATGATTCTGTTGCTATTACAGTGTGAAACAGCAGAAACAGAAAATTACTCAGTTCACATCTCTTGTGGTGCTTCTCGATAAATGGAACTATTAAAAAAAAATCAGAAATTACTAAATCAAGACATAAAAGCAA